TTTCCATTCCTTCTTAAGCTCTTTGAACGTGTCTGATTCTATATCTCTAGACGTACAAAGATAATCAGTTAATACTCCTTGTGTCACAGCATTTTTTGCCAATTCATCTACTATCTCATTTCCAGTGATTCCACAATGGCTTTTAATCCATGCCAACTTAACAGTTTTTGCCTTGTTGCTGAAGTTCTATAATTTTATTTATTATATATAATTCAACGTAATTTACTTTTGATTCAGGATTTATAGCACTAATTTTACTTACAGCACTTTTGCTGTCACTATAAATTATAAACTTTGAATGATCTATATTAGATAAATATTTTAGTGCTTCCACTATCGCTATTAATTTAGCTGTGTATATACTCATGATGGAATTGAGTTTAAACATTTCACTATTTTATTATTGTCATCTCAGTATGCACATCCCACACCTTCGATACTTTTGGATACATCTGTATATAGTATATAATAATCTTTGAACAATTGTGAACTGTCAGATATAAACACTAATTTTCTTAAAGATAAAGGTAAATTGCTGTAGTCCCTTAAGAAGTACACCTGAACTTGTTCTAGAGTATTAAAGTCAATATTGTAATTGGGTTTATGTCATATTTATATAGTTGTTTATCATATATTGTCATTTTTGAATATAAATCTATTATATTTAGAGTTTTCTTTTTTATCCAATATTTTTCTGTTAAGTCTGCTAAGAACAGCTGGTGTATTTTGAATATTAAACTTGACTTTTTCTCGTACAATCTTACTAAAAGTCTGATGCCAAGTTTTTTTCGTCTTATATCCATTGGCATTTCACAGCATTCGACTTGTAGGTTACAAATGGGTGTACTTCTTAGGGCTCCTATACACAATCTAAGGCATTTATTAACGATTTTGTCTATTTTGTTTAAATGACACTGTGATGCGTCACTGTATAATATTGATCCATAGTCGATTATAGCTCTTATATTATTTTTAAATAATAACAAAGAAATCTCTTTTCGTTTTCTTGAAAAAATACATAATTTAGTTCTTCTTCAATGGATTTGACTGCATTTTCTATTTTAATGTGTTCTTGATAAATGACTATATCATCTGCAAATTGTAAAATTCTTGTGGAGTTTAAATTTTTAACTAGATCAGCAGTGTAAATTAAATATAACAATGGGCTTAATATTCCTCCTTGAGGTAAACCATCCATCGCTAGCCTTGGACCAATTGTGTCACAATTTACCGATATATAAATTTTTCGACAGTCATATAGTTTTATTATTTTTTGACAGAAACATTCGGGAAGACCTATTTGTATCATTTTGTTGTACAGTATAATTAAATTAACGTTGTTGTATGCTGATTCCACATCTAATAAAAGAGCTGTTACTTAACAATTTGACGTAAACGCTAAATTTATATCTGTTACCAAGTGGCTCACTGCTTCCACATTACAATGATTTATACAAAATCCAAATTGTGTTTGTGATAGTTTATTATTTTTTTCCAACCATCTTTCGAGCCTAAGTTTTATCATTCTTTCCAGTATTTTTGTTATGCAGGAAGGAGCTTAATGAAATACCTCTATAAGATTCTGCCGAATCAGAATTTCGATTTGGTTTAAGTATGGGAATCACCCGGTACTCTCTCCAACTATCTGGAATATCTTCTGATTGCCATATTTGATTAAAAATTGTTAATAGTGTTTCTTTTCCTTGTTGATGTAAATTTGCCAACATAATATAATGTATATTATCTATTCCCGGAGACGTGTTTTTCTTGTTCTTAAGACTTATTTCTAATTCGTATAAACTAAATGGCACTGAAAGTGGATGATTAGAGTTTTTACTTTCCATTACATTAATTTTTGAAAATATATTATCTGGACATAATTTTCTCAAAAACTCCTCAACCCATTCTCCTTCGATCACTGGATTTATTTGTGGTTTAAAGATGTTTTGTAAACGTTTGACTTGATTCCACATATTTTTTATTGGTGTATTTTTGTTTAAATTTTCACAAAAAATTTTCCATGCATTACGCTTACTTTTTAATATAACTTTTTTCGTTTCTGCTACACACTTATTATAATTTATATAATTTTGTATATTGGACTGTAACTTAAACTTGCGTTAAAGCAAGTTGTTGTGCTTGAATAACCTTTTTACAATTGTCATTCCACCAAGTTTTCCTAAATCGTGGACTAGTCCCTGTTCTTTTCTCCGGTATGCATATTTTACAATATTCGTTTAATTTATTTAAAAATTGTTGGTAATCTAAATTATTATTGCATTCCATGAAATTATCAGTGATAGAAGAGAAAAGAGACCAGTCCGCTTTATTTATATTCCATTGGAATTTTGTGTTTACACATTCCGCTTTATTAACATTAATATTTGACTTTATGACAATAGCAAAATGATTTGATCCTAAAGTATTGTCCACAACATCCCAATCGAAAAAATGACTAATATTTGCTGAGCATATTGTAAGGTCTATGGCCGATTTATTAATACTATTAGGTCTACGCATCAAAGTTTCTTTGCCGTTATTTAAAAGTACGAGATTACAGTCCTCAATAGCTCCTAACAGATTTTTTCCTATAGTGTCTACAGTACTACAACCCCAAACATAATTGTGGCTATTAAAATCACCACCAATTATAAAAGGCTTCTCCATACTATTAAAAAACTTTTTCCATTCATTTACCGTAATTTTGAGATTTGGTTTTACATAAATAGAATAAATGTTAATCTTTTTACCGGCTTTAATTTTTATTGATATGCTATTACACATTACGTCATTGATTGGATGAAAAGTAGGAGTATTATCAAAATTAATTTTTTTTTTTCAATAGTATGGCCACACCACCATATCCATCATCCCTATCATTCCTAAAGATATTATAACCAGTAAAGGTAATAAAGCTACTTTTCTTTAACCATGTTTCTGATATTAGTCCTATATCTATTTTATTGTCATATAAAATTTTTTCTAAATAACCCTTATTTGTTTTAATTGACCTTGCATTCCATTGAAGAAATGATATGCTAGCCATCACGATTTAATAATAATTGTAAAATATTGTTTTTCAGTAATTCTAACGTTTTTTCATCTAAATTGTGATTAATCTGATTTAAAGTTGTTGAAATAAAGTTTACTATAATTTCTCCTATATTACTTTGATTATCGTTTTGTATTTGTGTTTTATTATGATAATTAGGGCTGTTAAAATTATAACAAGGCTGACTTTGTACTTTTGGAGTTTGTAAGATTTTTCTGTGCGCTTCCATTATCTCTCTGTCTACGTTACTAGAATTAATACTATTTGATCGTTTTCGTTTATAGATTGTATATTTATTGGAAGTACTTTCTTGTTCTTTACTAACTGTTGAATAATATTTTCTATATTTATTATTAGCTTCGTAATATGTTATATTCAGTATTCATAATCTTTGTAATATACTCCTGTTTTTCCCTTTCCGTACAATTTGCTCCCTTGTCAGTAGGGCTATGTTTTCCTTTGCACAATACACAAAATAGATTGTTAGGATTGGAACAATTTGATTTATTATGTTCTTCACCGCATCTTTCACACCTATCTTTTCCCCTACATTGAACACGTATATGCCCAAATCTCAAGCACTTTAAACATTGTAGCATTCTGGGTGTGTAATTTTCAACCTCGTATATCATTTTTTCTATTACTACGTTGGTAGGTATAGACTGACCTTTAAACGTTACTATTACAGTTCCAGTTTTTACATAGATAGTTGATCCATTTTCTTGTACCACTTTCCGCATTATTCTTTTTACATGTAAGACTTCAAATCTCATTCCAAACCTAGGTTGAATTAATGATAACAAATCATCCTCTTCTATCTCTTTATCTACAGATTTTATAACACCTTTTCTTTGGGTAAAAAACGTTGGAATATATGCCTCGTACTGTTTGCTTTTTAAATTATCAGATTCAATTAATTTATTAGCACTAGTAAAATTATTATGTTCTACCTTAATTTTATTCCTACCAACTACCGTGATTTGTGTGATATTATTTTCAATTTCAGGTACTGAACGTAAAATTAATCGGGCCGTGCCTATCCTGTGTAATTTGCCGATATTACCGTTTTTATTTTCTATATGTACTATGTATGGTGCACTATCTCCTAATTTATATCTATTATTTAATCTTAAATTTATAACTTTATTTAAATTTGGATTACCTGATCTATCTATTTTATTAAATTGTGTCAAAGCATCGTTATTAAAATCAAATTGGTTACTTACCTCGTTAGTGCTAATTGTTTGGTTTTTTTCGTTTGTTACCTTATTTATTGTTATGTTGCTATTTTTTTTAATTCTTCAAATTCCATCGTCCTATCTTCTCCAAATTCTACAGAAAATTTCCCTCTATCTGGAGGCTTCGGTGGAATTTCTTCCATGTCGTTTTTTTTTTATTAAACTACCTATACACGAAATATACACTTTCTTCTAGACCACTAGTTTAATATGTCTTTATCACTGCAAGTGATACTGTGAAAGTGAAGAAAAAACCTTTAAAATTGATATTTTTTGTAAGAGCTTCAAAATAATGCGCCTTTCGATTTGACGTTTATTTTCCATGAAATTTTATTTATATTGAAGTTTTTTTACTAATTATGTCACTTTTTAGACTATGATCGTTAATATTTAATTAAAACTTTCTTGTCTGAAAAATATTTTACAGTTATTGTTAACAAGTGTTGGAAAATTTAAATTTAGCGCCTTTGCATTTCCGGATATGTCCGCCATCAGAGGCCACTTTTTTGGTCTCCTTTTCATAACGATTAGATTCCCTCTTTTATCTTTTTGCTCGATGATAATTACCCAGCTGATTTGCAACATTAACAAAATGCTCTAATTTTTCTATGCTTGTTATCGACGCGACTAACAAAAGGTTAAAACCAAAAAGTTATAAAATTGAATTTTATTATATGTTTAATAAAACTAATATTTATTTCTTATTTTAGATTGATGATGACGGAAATATTAAGCCAGAAGAATATGGTAAATATATTCAAACACAGCTTGCGGATGTTAAGTATCTAGCTGACGTTCAAGATAAAATTATAGCCGATTGTCTTGCAGATATAAAGAATGCTACCATTTCAACCGGTAAATGCAAATCTGACGGAATGGTCTCAGGTTTTTGTATATTTAAGAATATTCAACTTAATTGCCCCGAAGACAAAATTAAAGACAAACTATTCTGCCAAAAAATGCAGGAGAGATTAAGGCAAGGAGATGGACGACCACCGTTTTTGCCACCTCCACCTCATCTTAAACCATAATTTAAATGTTCACTTTAATTTAGATAACTGACAGTAACAGATTTGTCTTAATGATTAAAAAATATGTTACACAATTGTACGATTCAATAAAAACTATTCAATATTTCATATATGCATATCAAATTATTTTTTCTGACTAGAAAGAAACCGAATAAAATGACAATTTTGATACCTTGCTTTTGAGTTCACTAAATGTAATAGATAAAAAACAATACCAAAATATTTTTGAATATTTTTTTAAGAAACAGGCAACTACGGAGGAGGCTACAGCTACACCCATGTATATATATATATATGTATATATATATATATATATATATATATATATATATATATATATAGCAAAACTGGTAAGATTATCGACCGAAACGTAAAAAAACAATTTATTGTGTTGGAATATCGGGTATGCGGTCTGTTATTATTAAAAAAAAGACTCTTTTTTCTTTTTATCCTCTATATTTCGCTGATTTTTTGTCAGCTTCATCAGGAGACAACTAAAAATTTGAATAAAAGTTATAAATATAAAAATCAGTTTGAATAAAAAGTGACTCACTTACAGATTTAGAGTGGAAAGTATTTAAACAAGTTGAACATAATTTGTTCAAAACAGTACTGACAGTTTTTGTTAAAAGTACCTAGGTCACTAGTAATTAAATGTAAAAATAAAAAAATAAAAACAGAGCAAACAAAAACAACGAAACAATTAAAACACAATAAAATTACACATTAAAAATATACAGGGTGATTTAAAATATAATTGTTAACAAAAAAATTATTTAGACATACTAAGAATATTACAGTAGATATTGCTCAACTGTCCCGTGTCTGCCTTGTAATTTACTGTATAGTTTTCTCTATTTATATGACACATTTCCAAAAACAATCTTTTTTTATAATTATTTTCTTGCTGTAAAACCCTGACATTTGAGTAATCAAATTGATGGCCAGTTTTTACTTAAACATTTCAATAACTTTAATAAACATATTAAATTTACTTTAGAGATTGAAAATGATTGTTCGATATCATTTCTGGACACCAAAATAATAAGAACAGAACAAAACAAAATATTGATAGATTGGTATCAAAAGCCAACACACTCTGGAAGATATTTAAACTTTTTTTCAAATCATCCTACTCACCAAAAGTTTAATACAGTCATTGCAATGAAGAATAGGGTAAGGCATATTAGTGACGATAAATTCATAAACAAAAACTTAAATTTGCTGTTAAACATCTTTCAAAATAATGGATACCCAAAACATATCCTTAAAAAATTGATATTTAACTCTGACATTTTTGACGGTCCCACTGATATCGGAGCAGCACAAACAACACAATATAAAAAACTACCATTAATAAAACAGTTAACACCTTCTGTGACTAATTTATTTAAACAATTTACCAACATAAAATTTGTCCAATATAATTTATTAGAAAACCGACAACTGTTTTCTAAAGTAAAAGACAAGACATCAACTTTAAACAAAACTAATGTTATCTACAAACTGCCTTGTTTGGATTGCCAGAGCTGTTATGTTGGCCAAACTTCTCAATGGCTAAAACAAAGGGTCATCCAACACAAAAGTGACTGCACAAAACGGAAGAACACATGTGCGGCAGTTGACCATCACTTAAAAACTGGCCATCAATTTGATTACTCAAATGTCAGGGTTTTACAGCAAGAAAATAATTATAAAAAAAGATTGTTTTTGGAAATGTGTCATATAAATAGAGAAAACTATACAGTAAATTACAAGGCAGACACGGGACAGTTGAGCAATATCTACTGTAATATTCTTAGTATGTCTAAATAATTTTTCTGTTAACAATTATATTTTAAATCACCCTGTATATTTTTAATGTGTAATTTTATTGTGTTTTAATTGTTTCGTTGGTTTTGTTTGCTCTGTTTTATATTTTTATATTTTTACATTTAATTACTAGTGACCTAGGTACTTTTAACAAAAACTGTCAGTACTGTTTTGAACAAATTATGTTCAACTTGTTTAAATACTTTCCACTCTAAATCTGTAAGTGAGTCACTTTTTATTCAAACTGATTTTATATTTATAACTTTTATTCAAATTTTTAGTTGTCTCCTGATGAAGCTGACAAAAAATCAGCGAAATATAGAGGATAAAAAGAAAAAAGAGTCTTTTTTTTAATAATAACAGACCGCATACCCGATATTCCAACACAATAAATTGTTATATATATATATATATATATATATATATATATATATATATATATATATATATATATATATATATATATATTATATATATATAATACTGGATATTTTTGACTGTCGATATAAACAAACAACACAGTTTATTAGAGCTGCAGTCAGAAGTTGGGCCGGGATGTTAAAGAAACGCTCTTTTGACTTTTGGTCTAGCTTTTGGAATTGTTTTATTCCTTTTTCAAGACATTGTAATAAGAAGAATGTGTAAAAATTTACAAAATATCACAAAAATTCTGATTATTTATTAAGGTGGATTTTCACACGTCCGATATCCGAGGTACGATGATACGATATAAATTTTAGCGAATTTCATTGGTTGAAAAATGACAGGTGAGATTTTCGTATGAAATGGACTATCTAAGTGAGAGCTCCCACCAAACTGACATGGCAAGTGGCAAGTAGCAAGTAGCACGCGTCCAGCATGTTATTTAAAATGTAACCACTGAAATGGAATGATTCAGCGGACACCAAAATGACAGTAACGTCGTTCATTTTAATCATTCGTTTGCATTGGTTACATTTTAAATAATATGCTAGACGTGGGCTACTTGCTACTTGCCATGCCAGTTTGGTGGGCGCTCTTCCTAAGTCTAACGTCACAATGGGCGGTTCTTAGGTCAGAGCCAAACCTCGTATGTACACTTTTTGCCAAAATCCACTTTTTGTGTTATTCAAATTCCTCTCGTCGACTTTTATCGTAAGACAAAACCTCGTAATAAAATTATCGTAGAATGTTTGTATAATAACGAATAACCAGACCTTGTACAGACGAAAGAATTTGATGACAATCCAAACCTTGTATAATTGGCAGTTCTGCGCCACATCGGTAGCACATAATAATAAACAATCAGAATGCCTACTCTGCTTAAAAAATTAAGTACGCGCATCTCGTTCGCGCAGACGTTTCGCCATGTTTTAAAGGGAACCAGTATTGTTTAATAAAAATTTATGTGGTGTGCATAGAAAAATTAACCCGGTTTAATTTACTTACGACAATCATAGACATACTGTACAATTATTTTAACATTGTTATATATAATAACATAAATATAAATATAATATAATTAAATTTAAACATAAATATCAATATAATTTATTTAAATATAATATAATTAAACATAAATATAAACAATTACATAAACTTTCAAATCATAAATCAATAAAGACACATTACACCAAATGTGATTCTGAATGCGATTCTGTGTTCTGCGTTTCCTTTTAAAACATAGTGCGCGTGCTGAAAAACTTCAAAGGCGGCATATCAGAGTGGGCATTCTGATTGTTTATTCGCGATAGCCAATTCCGACACGGGGCGCTGAAGATTTCAAAGATGGACGATAACTTCGGGAAAACAAATTATTTTGTCATTTGATCTCTAAGGTGTAAAATGTTTAATATAAATCATTTACACGTGTATTTTGCCAAAGTAACAGTTGGATTAAATTCTTCAAAGGTTATTTGTAATTTTCACAGTAGCGTGATCTCACATCGCAGCGACATAAATACAAAAAAAATAGTGCTTGTGCGCTGACAGAACACGCATTAACTTTAAAACATGAATTAAATTTCGAGGATTCCTGTATTTTGGCAAAGACAAAAAAACATTCAAAACGTGTTTTCTTGGAAATGTGTTTCATAAAATCCAATACGTCTTGTATAAATAAAAAATCTGACATAGATAAAGTGAGCAATATTTATTGTTATTTACTGACAAAACATCAAAAATAAAATTAAGATTTACTTTTACATATACACACCATAATACACCTGCATGCAAAATATGTTGCATACCATCAAGACAGGTTTAATACATTACTTCCATTAATAAAACATGAAAAACACCTAATTACATTTTAATCATACTATTTTTGTTTTTTTCTTTCTGTTCTCTATGAATCAGTTAAAACACACCATTAAAAGATGTCACAAATGAAGTTTTACTATCCTTAACTAAATTTTCTAGAGCTAATCTTAGATCTCAGATCTCAGAGCTAATCTTGTAATAGACAATACAACGATTGAGCGTGTGCCCTGTTATAAATATCTAGGTGCTTGGATCACAGACGATACTGATCAAACAAAAGGGATTAGATGTAGAATAGAAATCGCTAGATCAGTCTTTAATAGAATGCGCAAACTCTTTTGCAATCGTGATATCAATATAATCAAGTGTTATGTCTTTTCTACCCTGTTATATAGAGTTGAGGCTTGGACACTAAAACAGTTGACCATAAAAAACATCGAAGCTTTCGAGATGTGGTGCTATAGGCGCATTCTCAGAATATCATGGATGGACCGCGTCACTAACACACAAGTACTCCAAACTTTAGACAAAAGATGCGAAATTCTAAATCAGATAAAAACTAGAAATATGGAATACTTGGGGCACATTGTGAGAGGTGAAAAGTACGAACTTTTAAGAAACATCATGCAGGGCAAAATTAAGGGCAAAAGAAGTGTGGGAAGAAGAAAAATATCGTGGCTTCGTAATCTACGTGAATGGTTCGGGTGTAGTTCGATTGAACTTTTTAGGCGCGCTGCTAACAAAGTCGCAGTGGGCCATGATGATTTCCAATCTCCGCTAGGAGTGGCACGAGAAGAAGAAGAAGAACTAAATTTTAAAATATATTTTGTCCATTATTTTATATGTTATATTTTATTTGTGTCTTATTAATGTTAAGTGTCATAGATTTATATAAATAATCTCAACGACTGGTAAGTTGCACTGACAATTTGTGATATATTGTAAATATTTACACACTCTTCTAATTACAGTGTCTTGAAAAAGGAATAAAACAATTCCAAAAACTAAAAAAAATTGACTGCAGCCCTAATAAACTTTTGTTGTTTGTATATATGTTATGGA